TTTGGTCAGAGTAAACATTATGCTCGAGCATAGTTATTAAAAACTCATTTGATTTCGGTTTGTGCACAAAAAGGCTCGAGTCTTTGGCACAATTTCCATACCATTGGACTGGGTCAACTTAATATGTCCAGAACACACATATTTGTTTAAAATGGCTTTCCAAGCTGCCCACTTGGCATTGAAACTGACTGCTTGACTGTTTATTTACTCATCTCGATTTCTGGGCACCGAAAGTTAACCTATGCTTAGGCATTTGCCTTAGCTCAAATCTCAAATGTTTTGGCATGAAAGGTTCGTTGATTGCCCAGTTGGCCAGGCATCTGGATTATGTTGTGTGGGCTAAGGATACGGAGTCCTGTACATGAACCGAGAAATCAGTGGAAGGTGAAAGCCAAAGTTTCACTGCCCGGTGGCTGTTGTCATAAAACTTTATCCCTGTCATTACAAACGCCTTAACAGCTAGATCAACATGCCGCAAGTGGCCTTCTCCCTGGATAAATATCCCGGCTCCCAGCTTCGAGCTCTTTGTCCCAGTTGAATGACGAGCACAAATGTAGGGGGAGAAAACAAATTCATAGAAAAGCTCAAGCGTGCAAGGCGGCACTCCAAGAAATGCAATAGTTTAGAAAGGTTTCAAGTGATCTCGAGTGAAATTAAATTAAATTACAAAACTGCAAATAAAATTGATGAGTTGTGCAGCGGTTGAAATATTGTGCGTTATGATGGCTTATTGTTAGGAAGTTCAGGACCAACGATGTTTCTCAAATTAATCTGCACTTTTGTTTGCAATTTGTTCGATGAATTTGTTATATTAATGGCACATTTGTCTGTAAAACTTGATTGATACGCACAAGCTCATTTGATTTTTCCTTGTGTATCGCCTTTCCCTGGGAAAATGTGTGCGTAGTGCCCTTTGATGCTTTTCTGTTATTCTTTTCTCCACCATAATTTTTTCCTTTTTTCCCGGTTTTTTCCTTTTCAACGGGAGACGTGAAAAGGCAAAGGGGAAGAGGTATTGCTTAAACATTTATAAGGTTCGGGCTGTTCTGCTGTCCGCTGCCGTTGCCCCATTCATTCATTTCATTCATTCCGATGAAGCTCATTCATTTTCCTTACACTTTCCCGCGTTTCCCGCACTTTGCCCACTTTCCCGCCATGTGTTGTAGTTGTGCAAATCCAATTTCATGCGCCTTTTTATTTATTTCTGGTTCCTTTTGGCCAGTTTTATGTTTTGTGTTAGTTTGTTGCCCGGCGCAACGTCCAATGTCCAAGTGCCACTCCACGTCCAGTTGCCCTTTTTTTTATTTATTTTTTTTTTTTTATTTTGTGTCGCTCCCTCCACTCGAAGACGTTTCTGTGCGAACTCTCGATTTTGGGTCAGCTAGGTATAAATTATCAGCTTCCGATGGGTTCGCTCTTTCAAGGAACTCGGATACCGTCGTGACCTGTGCAAACAATCAGCGGAAAAGTTTCGATTCCGAAAATTGGAGGTTAAAGTGGGGTTTGGGTTGGTACGAAAGTCAAGCGATCCATTGTGAAACCCTGACAATTACAATGATTTTCTATACAAATTTATGCAACGTTAAAGGATATTTTTGCATACAAAAAAGCTGAATCCAACTTTTAGAAATAATTATTTTATCTTTTCATTCAACTACGCTATTTTTGATCGCGAATCGATAGCCAGTATTTTACCAGTGCACGAGTTGAAAAATGAAAAAATGAAAGTTGACAGCCCCTAGTGTTGTGTACACACACTCACAGTATTCAATTGCTGGGGCATGGTTGGAATTCGGAAGGGAAAAACGGAAAAAAGGTTGTTTATTTGCCACTAGAACTGATTGACAAACCGTGAAATTATTTGGGGAAATGAATATTTAAGCAGCTGCAGTTGAATGTGTCAATGAACTGCTGGATTTTCACTGGCTGTTTGCACCGGAAGGCTCTTCAAAAATATATTTCAGCTTTAAATCCGCGCAAGGACACAGTTTCCTGCTACGCAGATCCAGATTTTTGCAACTTGCGCAATGCAAAGTTTTTGATGGCATATTAGTATCAATAAACGATATGACTTACAGGACAATTCAAAGTAATGCTGCACTTGCATTGCCCTCAGATACAGGTCCTTAGCTAACCGCAACAACCTAGTTTCATTCAGGGCTGGCACTTAACCTCCAGCAGGCGGCGGCTGCAACATCTTCTTGGCCATACCTCTGCCATCGTTTCATATTACTGCCCTTGCTCTGGGAGCCCTCAATTGGTTCGCTTCTCACGCTGTTTTCCTCCAGATTCCGTAGCCCCTTCTCGGCCCCTTTACTCGTATTTTGACCCCCTTTCTCTTTGGCCGCAGGCTGTGGTTCATTTGCCATTTCGCAGCATACCTATTTGGGCAGGCCATAAATTCATACACATACTCGTATGTATTCTGGCGATTGTATATTCAACTGGAAATGAACCTCAGGAAACTATGTGTCGTTACAACCAATGCGGAAAGCTAAACTGTATTTAGCGTTTGTACTTTTATTGCGCTCATACGTTTTACAACAGTTTCAAAATATTGCAAAGTATTTTTTGGTTTTTGTGGCACAGATTTCGGTTTCACGCGTCACTAATATTGTAACCGCGGCTGTGCGTCTAACCAAAATGAGGGATGGGCGAGAAGGGGGAGTGCAGTTTGCCACTAAAATAGGGGCACGTGGCCTTTTTGGCTCGATAAACGCTTGTAGCCATGTTCTTGCGCCTTCAACTTCACGTTCAGCTAATATATATGTGACTGAATAAACCATAAGACACAGAAAAATATGTATGTTTGCTGCCAGCAAAAATCTCAAATCATAAGGCTTCTCCTTCGTTTGAGGGAATTTACAATTTACATACGGCTTGCTAATTAAAAAGGCTGCTGGAATGTGGAATCCTGGGATGTGGATTCTAGGCCACCGAGACGGGATGGCACTGCATTTGAGGTATGCTCATATTTTTTGAAACGCTGTCCTTGTTTCCGACAATCATTTGAGGACACTAAACGCTTTTGCAAAACCCTAGCCTATAGCCCTATTAGATTTTTTTGCCACACCGCGACGAATTATTTACATAACCATGCTTATAACATATCATATCATATGTATGCACTATATATGACATTACAGCCGTCGCTCGATAAACAGTTTAGCAATTTCCGATAGATTTCTGCAAAAGCACATTAAAGTTTGCGACTTTTCTCTCCGTGCACCCACCCACACTCCCCCAAGAGCCATTCACTGTGTCCGCAGCTTTTTAATAAGCCCGACGCGAGAGTCTGGGCCAGGTTCCCACTTGACATGGTTGAGCTGGGGACTTGACGAAAGAGGCTAACTTTTTTCTCGTTGTTTTACAGCCCAGAAGAAGCAAAAAAAAAAACGAAAACAAAAAACAAGAAAGGAAGGGAAATGGGGGCTGCTTTGCTTCCGCTGACGCCTCACAAATTGCCGAAGGGAGGCTCTTTTGGGGGACTTCTGAGCGCCCGCCCATTAGAAACTTTCCCACTGCAAATTGGCAACAAATTCGAGCTGCAGTGCGAAATTAGAGGGCATTATGGTTATTCGTTATTATATTACAGCGGTTAGATCAAACGCTTTCGTAAAGCGAATTAGGTTAGCATATACCCTCATTAGCAGACCGCATACTCTGGAAATAATTTGGCTTCTCGCTTTACCGCATGATGATAGTCTAAATTATTTACATTTACGCAAATGTTGGCCATTCGTTTTACAGAAACGGTCGGTTTATAATGATTTATATCGAAGCAAACTACCCATTCCCTGGCACTGCAGTCTTTCAAGTGTGTTTGCATTTGAGCCGAGCAACTTGTTGGCTTGCAATTAATTGTTTTCCGCGACCAATGACCTCTGCGTGGCAGGGAATCCTGGGCTTGGCACTCCAGTCTAGACAGCACTGGCCACGCCCATAGCGCCAGCGAAGCATGACGGTTACGCCCTGAAAACTACGACAACTTGTTGAGTCAGTCGACGTGGAATCGAATCGAGGAACTAACTCAATGCCGCTAAACAGCAGTGGAACTAACAAAGGGCTTAGATTTGGGCCTTGCCTCCGTTTTTACTTTTCAAAAAACTGCAAAATTCGGAGGCGCGTTGGAGTGTGCTAAACGAATTTCAAAGTTTCAAAGTGACAATGTTTTTGTTTCCTTTTTTTTGCTTTTTGTGGGGACCCACATCTGCACCTCATTTACATGGATGGCGGTGGGTTTAGTCCATTTGCAGTGCATAAAAGTTGAATAAGTTGTTTTGGCGTCCAGTCCGAAAAAAGAAAAAAACGCCATTAAATAACTTTTTGTCCCATGCTTTCTCGTATATATCTGTTCCGGGTTGAATATATTATGTATACACATATTGGAGTGACACCTCCAACGTCAACAACTTGAACATCAGTTTTCCGAGACGCGGCGGTCTGATAACTTTTCAAATTTAGCCGCTTGGAAAAAGAGTGTGAAGAGGAGGCCGCGGAGGAAAAGCCCAAGATGAAGTGGAAGTTGAATGGGAGTTGGCGTTTGTGTGGGTTGTGGGGTGTGGCGGTGGGGTGCCCAAAAAGTAAGCTAAGTATTTCGACTGTGCCACCATACCGCCCACTTTCCACCCGCTTTGCCACCCACTCACTTACCCTTGAGTTGCGCTTGAAAGACGTTCGCTTTCAATTACGGTTTAACAGCTGGGAAAACTTGTGTACTGGCCTTAATCTGAATCCCGAAGTCCCAATAAATGGCATAAATGTTTATGCAAAAGGTGCTGAATTTTACTTATGTGCGGTTAGCTGCGAGGATAAACCGTATATGCGGCGTATTTCCATCTGAATAGGAAAAATTTGAAGCTGCTAATGAGAAAGAAAAATCTCTATTCGCAGCAGGAATTCGCTTGCGGTCAAGATAGCAGCCATTTTCTAAGCTTTCAGAAATCTCCAGAGGACTATGCTGCGATGAATTAATAAAGTTTTAAACTAACATATATTTTTTGTTATTATAAGTTCTTTCCGCACGTCCAATACCTATCGCTTTCGCTGTCCCACTCTAACCTTGATGCCTGTTCTCTTCTTGCATGTTACGTGGTTTGCGATGACGATGGATCGAAAAAAAAAAAAGTTGTTCATAAAAGAAAAATAAAAAAAAAGATAGAGGAGAGTGAGAGAGTGTGAGAAGGAGAAGGAGAGGAAGAGGAAGAAAAAATATATAAAAGATTATTCAGAAGAGTTGTATACGCGACATGGATACCAAATTGGAGGCGCGTGGCCAGTTTCCGGCCTCGTTTCCGGATAGCTTCAAGAACTTCTTTGCCATGATGAACGAAGACGAGGATCATGTGGGGCTGTTTGCCAATCTGCTGGAGGATAAGGTATCCCGCGAACCCCGCGTCCATCCCTTGTTGGACGACATTCCGACAGCGCGCATTTCCCTCCACAGCAATCGCATATTAATCACACCCCCTTCCCTTCTCTCGTTGTCTTTCCCTGCACTTCTCCAGGTGATTCCGCGGCAAAACAGCCCCGTGCAGCCGCAGCGGCAGCGGTACGGCGGCAGCATGCGGAGTCACAGCGGCGGCGACCGCTCCGATCGAAGGGGTCGCGCCGAGCGGCAGTACCAGCAGCAGATCCATAATCAACAGCAGCAGCAACAGCTGCAGCAGCAAAGCGCCCAACACGTGAGTGATTGCATATGATTGCATCATCTGTTGTTTGTGAGGTTATGTTTCTGTTTATGTTTCTGTTTCTGTTTCAATACACTTATGTATGCGTGCAGCGTGCTTTCCAGCCGCGAAGTCGCAGCGGCAGTGGCAGCAGCATTGACCTTTATGCGAATCGGAGTGTAAGCTTCACCACCACCCCCACCAACCGGGTCAGTTCGCTGCGCAGGAATCGCTCGCGAGGATCGCTGACCACCCTCAGCAGCAATGGCTTGAATGCCCTGGGCCTGGGCCCTGTGACCCTGGCACCGAATGTCAGCTCGAGCAGCAGTGGCAGTGTCCTGGACTTGACATTGCCGGGTGGCAATGCTGCTGCTGCTGATGCAGGAGGCGGTGGCGGCGGAGGTGCAGGCGGAAGCGGCGGCCAGAATATGTACACTTCGCCCGCGAAGTCGAACCTGAAAACCGCACTGAAGGCAACCAACATGGGGGACCGCGGAAGCACTGCCTTCCTGGGAGTCGACGGTAATTTACTTGGCAGTCACATTAAGTACCACTGTCTGCAGCACGATCATTCCACAGATGGTATCCAACAACTCCAGCAGCAGCTGAAGAATCAGCAACTCGGTTCTGGACAGAAGCACGTGACTATGGCCTGTTGCGAGTGCGTTTGCGGCAGTAAGAAGGCTTCCCGTTCCGGTCCCGAAGGCGAGGACAATTGTGCGGCGAGCTATTCTGGCGGATACGTGCTACCGAAGCCTAAGCCGAAGCCGAAGCCCATCGACAAAACTTCCGCCGATCTGGCAGCGTCGAAGAACAAGAAGCTGCAGCAGCGACAGGAGCGGCAGGAGAACAGTGGGTCGCACCTCCTCGATAGGGCTTTCGAAATCGGTGAGTTTTTACAAGATTTGTATACAACTTGCAATGTTGCTTAATGAGGCTGAAACTCCATAACTCAAGTTATCTTAATCGGATTTTGAAGTGGCATACCTCTAAATGTTTCTGGCGCAATTTTCTAAAAATCTGCATTTAAATTTATAAATTTATTTTTTTTAATATTTTTGCCATTTTTTTGATATTTTGATGTAGAAATTCAAAAAATTAAGAAATGCCAATATGCTGAAGTTCTAAACTCCATAACTCAACGTATCTTAATCGGATTTTGATGTGGCATACCTCTAAATATTTCTGGCGTAATTCTCTAAAAATCTGCATTCAAATTTAAAAATTGATTTTTTTTTTAATTTTTTGTCTCTTTTTTGATGTTATGATGTTGTAGAAATTCAAAAAATTAAGAAATGCCAATATGCTGAAGTTCTAAACTCCATAACTCAACTTATCTTAATCGGATTTTGAAGTGGCATACCTCTAAATGTTTCTGGCGCAATTCTCTAATAATCTGCATTCAAATTTAAAAATTGATTTTTTTTTAAATTTTTTGTCATTTTTTTTTGATGTTGTAGAAATTCAAAAAATTAAGAAATGCCTATATGCTGAAGTTCTAAACTCCATAACTCAACGTATCTTAATCGGATTTTGAAGTGGCATACCTCTAAAAATTTCTGGCGTAATTCTCTAAAAATCTTCATTCAAATTTATAAATTTTTTTTTTAAATTTTTTTTTGCCATTTTTTTTATGGTTTGATGTTGTAGAAATTCAAAAAATTTAAGAAATGCCGAAAAGCTAAAGTTCTAGTTTCCATAACTCAACTTATCTTAATCGGATTTTGAAGTGGCATACCTCTAAATGTTTCTGGCGCAATTCTCTAATAATCTGCATTCAAATTTAAAAATTGATTTTTTTTTTAATTTTTTGTCATTTTTTTTTGATGTTGTAGAAATTCAAAAAATTCAGAAATGCCAATATGCTGAAGTTCTAAACTCCATAACTCAACTTATCTTAATCGGATTTTGATGTGGCATACCTCTAAATGTTTCTGGCGCAATTCTCTAATAATCTGCATTCAAATTTATAAATTTTTTTTTTTTCAATTTTTTGTCATTTTTTTGATGTTATGATGTTGTAGAAATTCAAAAAATTAAGAAATGCCAATATGCTGAAGTTCTAAACTCCATAACTCAACTTATCTTAATCGGATTTTGATGTGGCATACCTCTAAATATTTCTGGCGTAATTCTCTAAAAATCTGCATTCAAATTTAAAAATTGATTTTTTTTTCAATTTTTTGTCATTTTTTTGATGTTATGATGTTGTAGAAATTCAAAAAATTAAGAAATGCCAATATGCTGAAGTTCTAAACTCCATAACTCAACTTATCTTAATCGGATTTTGATGTGGCATACCTCTAAATGTTTCTGGCGTAATTCTCTAAAAATCTGCATTCAAATTTAAAATTTGATTTTTTTTTTAATTTTTTGTCATTTTTTTGATGTTATGATGTTGTAGAAATTCAAAAAATTAAGAAATGCCAATATGCTGAAGTTCTAAACTCCATAACTCAACTTATCTTAATCGGATTTTGAAGTGGCATACCTCTAAATGTTTCTGGCGCAATTCTCTAATAATCTGCATTCAAATTTAAAAATTGATTTTTTTTTAAATTTTTTGTCATTTTTTTTGATGTTATGATGTTGTAGAAATTCAAAAAATTAGGAAATGCCAATATGCTGAAGTTCTAAACTCCATAACTCAACTTATCTTAATCGGATTTTGATGTGGCATACCTCTAAATGTTTCTGGCGTAATTCTCTAAAAATCTGCATTCAAATTTAAAATTTGATTTTTTTTTAATTTTTTGCCATTTTTTTGATGGTTTGATGTTGTAGAAATTCAAAAAATTTAAGAAATGCCGAAAAGCTGAAGTTCTAGTCTTCATAACTCAACTTATCTTAATCGGATTTTGATGTGGCATACCTCTAAATGTTTCTGGCGTAATTCTCTAAAAATCTGCATTCAAATTTAAAATTTGATTTTTTTTTTAATTTTTTGTCATTTTTTTGATGTTATGATGTTGTAGAAATTCAAAAAATTAAGAAATGCCTATATGCTGAAGTTCTAAACTCTATAACTCAACTTATCTTAATCGGATTTTGAAGTGGCATACCTCTAATCTGCATTCAAATTTATAAATTTTTTTTTTTTCAAATTTTTGTCATTTTTTTGATGTTAGGATGTTGTAGAAATTCAAAAAATTAAGAAATGCCAATATGCTGAAGTTCTAAACTCCATAACTCAACTTATCTTAATCGGATTTTGATGTGGCATACCTCTAAATATTTCTGGCGTAATTCTCTAAAAATCTGCATTCAAATTTAAAAATTGATTTTTTTTTAATTTTTTGTCTCTTTTTTGATGTTATGATGTTGTAGAAATTCAAAAAATTAAGAAATGCCAATATGCTGAAGTTCTAAACTCCATAACTCAACGTATCTTAATCGGATTTTGAAGTGGCATATCTCTAAATGTTTCTGGCGCAATTCTCTAATAATCTGCATTCAAATTTATAAATTTTTTTTTTTTCAATTTTTTGTCATTTTTTTGATGTTATGATGTTGTAGAAATTCAAAAAATTAAGAAATGCCAATATGCTGAAGTTCTAAACTCCATAACTCAACTTATCTTAATCGGATTTTGATGTGGCATACCTCTAAATGTTTCTGGCGCAATTCTCTAATAATCTGCATTCAAATTTAAAATTTGATTTTTTTTTTAATTTTTTGCCATTTTTTTGATGTTATGATGTTGTAGAAATTCAAAAAATTAAGAAATGCCTATATGCTGAAGTTCTAAACTCCATAACTCAACTTATCTTAATCGGATTTTGAAGTGGCATACCTCTAAATATTTCTGGCGTAATTCTCTAAAAATCTGCATTCAAATTTTAAAATTGATTTTTTTTTTAATTTTTTGTCTCTTTTTTGATGTTATGATGTTGTAGAAATTCAAAAAATTAAGAAATGCCAATATGCTGAAGTTCTAAACTCCATAACTCAACTTATCTTAATCGGATTTTGATGTGGCATACCTCTAAATGTTTCTGGCGCAATTCTCTAATAATCTGCATTCAAATTTATAAATTTTTTTTTTTTCAATTTTTTGTCATTTTTTTGATGTTATGATGTTGTAGAAATTCAAAAAATTAAGAAATGCCAATATGCTGAAGTTCTAAACTCCATAACTCAACTTATCTTAATCGGATTTTGATGTGGCATACCTCTAAATATTTCTGGCGTAATTCTCTAAAAATCTGCATTCAAATTTAAAAATTGATTTTTTTTTTAATTTTTTGTCTCTTTTTTGATGTTATGATGTTGTAGAAATTCAAAAAATTAAGAAATGCCAATATGCTGAAGTTCTAAACTCCATAACTCAACTTATCTTAATCGGATTTTGATGTGGCATACCTCTAAATATTTCTGGCGTAATTCTCTAAAAATCTGCATTCAAATTTAAAAATTGATTTTTTTTTAAATTTTTTGTCTCTTTTTTGATGTTATGATGTTGTAGAAATTCAAAAAATTAAGAAATGCCAATATGCTGAAGTTCTAAACTCCATAACTCAACTTATCTTAATCGGATTTTGATGTGGCATACCTCTAAATGTTTCTGGCGCAATTCTCTAATAATCTGCATTCAAATTTATAAATTTTTTTTTTTTGCAATTTTTTGTCATTTTTTTGATGTTATGATGTAGAAATTCAAAAAATTAAGAAATGCCAATATGCTGAAGTTCTAAACTCCATAACTCAACTTATCTTAATCGGATTTTGATGTGGCATACCTCTAAATATTTCTGGCGTAATTCTCTAAAAATCTGCATTCAAATTTAAAAATTGATTTTTTTTTTAATTTTTTGTCTCTTTTTTGATGTTATGATGTTGTAGAAATTCAAAAAATTAAGAAATGCCAATATGCTGAAGTTCTAAACTCCATAACTCAACTTATCTTAATCGGATTTTGATGTGGCATACCTCTAAATATTTCTGGCGTAATTCTCTAAAAATCTGCATTCAAATTTAAAAATTTATTTTTTTTTTAATTTTTTGTCTCTTTTTTGATGTTATGATGTTGTAGAAATTCAAAAAATTAAGAAATGCCAATATGCTGAAGTTCTAAACTCCATAACTCAACTTATCTTAATCGGATTTTGAAGTGGCATACCTCTAAATATTTCTGGCGTAATTCTCTAAGAATCTGCATTTAAATTTAGAAATTCTTTTTTTTTAATTTTTTTGACGTGATGTAGAATTTAAAAAAAAAAGCAATGTCCCAAGGCTGAAGTTCTAAACTCCATATAAACTCCTACTCGACTATAGCATTTTATCTTGTTTTTAACCACATTTATATAACATTGAAGCATTTCTGGCTCAGTAGCCAAAGCAGTAGCCATAATTTCTTCTTGATTAAGTATCCGCACTGCTTATCGCTTGACAGTGTTGTAAAGCGCAATTAAAAGCGCACGCTATGCAGACCTTTTCACAGCGGGCAAAAAAGGGAATGTCGGCCATCTGGATTATCGCAACGGAAATGCAGGCGCTGCAGGGGCTGGCTCTTGATTAGGGAATTAGTCACCAGTTACTGGACAGCGAAAGGGACGACGAAGTGGCCGACTTTCAAGGAGCATGTCCTGCCACGAATTGCGGAAGTCGGAAGTGCGTGCCATGGGCGGTGGCCCCAATTGCAGAGCGAGCTGCCTTTTTGCATGCTGCACGGCCATCGGCTGGCAGGTTAATTAAGACTGCTGCGTGGACTTGTTTCCCGGGCACAAAGTGACTCTTTACGGTGACAATGACATGGGGCACACTTCTCTCTCCGTGCTTCGTGGTCCATGCTCCGGTTCTCCAGTTCTCCGGTTCTCCTGTCTCCGGGCTCCAGACTCCGGCTAACGAGGCCGCAAGTCACCTGCCAGATCGCAGCTCCCTTTTGCCATGCCATCGTTGTGGTGGCTGCTACATTGATGCAATTGCGGCTGTTTTGTGGCACCTGGCAACAAGTTAAGGGACAAGTTCTTTGTGCGCGTTTGAAGCACTTTGCTCCGGACGCACATTACACTAGTTGATATATTTTTCTTGCAATGCATTCAAAATGTTCATTTTATTGTTGATTGAATTTTGCCAATTTGACTCATTGGTGCATTTTTTACGCTAGCTTTTTGGAGAGCGCAACCTTTTGCGTGCAGGCTAGTGTTTTCAAACTAAACCATTTTCATTGATGCTAACCCCATGTGATGGTAGCAGGGAAGATATTAACCGAATGTTGCCCATGTTGACTTAAAGAAAGCTCTTTCACTTAATTTAATTCAGCTGGGAATCAGCTCGGAGCATTAGCTTTAGCCACTTGACTTTAAAAAGTGTTTTCATTTCATCCGAAAATGTCGTTAGGGAAACTCTAACAATGGCTGCTTGTGTACAAGCTTGTGCTTCTCGAAAATTCAACTAGAAAATACACTTTAACTTGAATTTCGTATCCGAATCAATTTCAGCGAATCAATGAACTTCGGATATTGGGCAAATGGTTATAGTACCCTGAACGACCTAGCTTTCATTTCTTTCTGCTGGTAAATGCTGGTAAATACGCTTTAAATTCGCCTTACATAATAAAACGGATAAGTCAAGGCCGCACCAAAGAGGCAAAATACGATCCGGAAGGGAGCCCAAAAACGAAAATTAAACATCAACTTAAAAAGTGGCAAATGAAGAGTATAAAGCGAAAAAGGTCCGACATTTACCCGTTGCTTGTCCTGAAGCCTTTTTGGTCTTTTTTTCCTTTTCCAAGGGAGCGAAATGGAGGCGGGTGACACAGACGGGTTACATGGATAAGCAGCTCCTTTTTTTGTGTTGCTGGGTGCCTGCTCGTCAGGTGAAGGGATTTCAACTTTAAGATACTTTCTGCCTTTGTCCACTTAATTGCATTTGGTAAACTGTTGAATGGAGCCGCTCGATAAAAGGGCCAGAGGCTCATTTCTATAATGGATGGGCCTCTCATGGTGATTAATTTGACTGAATGCGTCTGAAAAATGTTTGAACCGGGAGGAGCCTCAAACGTTATGATTAATCTGCGGTATCAACGAAATTGCTGGTAAAATCATGCCCTCAAATGAACAAAGACAAGTGACAAATGCTTCGAATAGCGTGCTCATTAATCGAATGATTGAACTGCTTGTGGTCACAATGCTGCTGTACAAAGATGCTGTCTTGAAAAACCCATTTAATAGACTTCCAGCTCTTAGCTACAGTTGCCAAAATTTAAACGATGGCAGCATCATAAAATTCTTAAGCTTTGTCGACAAAGAAATGTGCCACACGCTAATTAAGAGAAAGCACCCAGAAAGTTTCCTAGGCAAACTCGGGGCCATGAAATTTAATCATAAATATGTTGAAAACAATTTTTATGGCCACCCATTGGACAAGGCTGAAATTTCCTGGGTATATTCCTTAGAGAAAATTAAAAAATAACGAGAATGTTGCTTGATGGGGAAATTGCGGAAATTTTAAGACGCATCCAATCGTTAAACCAATTGTTTTGGTCACTAAAATTGAGACATTTTTCCAAGCTATTGCTTTGAACTGTTGATTACTTGGGTTTCATTTAGGCTTTGACTTAATTTGTATGTCTGCATTCTTGGTAATCTTAATTGTTTCATTTGCTTTTGCATTTTTCGCTGGATATTCATGAAATATTCTGTAAAATATCAAGGCCTTCACATTTGTAAGCCGTAACTTTTGAGTGACAGAACTTCCTTAAAACGAATGAATATTGGACAAGGTATTCGTGAAGTCGAGTCTGTTAACCTGTCATATGTGGCCATATTTTAAGCGATGCTCCGGGTCTAACCGACAATTTTTATGGCGCCCACCGACGCACAAAGAGCCAAAGTTTATTAATTTTTTTTTGGCCCAGCAACAAAAGGAAACAGCAAAGAAAACTTAAGCTTGGCTATAAACATGTAAACAGAAAGCAAACACACACACACGACGCGTGCAAACAAAAAGTCGTTGGGAAATGTCTCGGAAAAAGTTTGCTTTTTGGATTCTGGCAAAACATTTTCATATCTGACTTCAACTTGGGAAACATAATTCCTGGGAAAGACAGACACACACAACGCAACGCAACGCAAAAGCGATATATAGACACCCAGGCACAGCTGTCCCAGGTGCCCCAGGTGTCCCCTTTTCACATTTTTCCTAAATAGATACGGATGAGGAGCGTAGAGGATGTCGGTTGTGTCCACTAGAATTGGCCACATTAGTTTGGGCCACATCGTTGTGGTTTGTTTCAGTCAACTGGCGGAAAGACAATTAGGAAACTAACAGACTTGTTCACTCAACTGGTGAAATTGTCTCATTTCTCAGCAATTTCCCAAGCCATTTTGTTGTCGATTTGGCATGAATGTGTAATTGCCTTATTGATTCTTGGTATTCAAACCAATTCAAAGTCAGATTGGAACTCAGCTGAATTTTAAGCAACACCGAAGTGGTAGCAGTAAGAACACGATTATTTAATTTTATTGTAATGAAACATCCGCTTTTCTCTTTACACTATCCTGATTGCTGCCCGTGGTTCCGGTCCGGGTGCTCAGATACGAGCTGCGAAGACATGGACAACATAAGCCTCAGCACCCACAATTCCGTGCCCTCGCCAGCTCCCCACCAGCTGGCCTACAATGTCCTCAAGCCGATCCTGAAGCAGCCGCAGTCGCAGCAGCAGAAGGCAATGATGCAGCCGCAACATCAGCAGGCAAATGCCCAGCAACATCAATGTGTTACGCAGCAGCAATATCAACAGGTGGCTCATCAGCAACTGGGCAGCCAGCAGCATCAAGTGGTGACCCATCAGCCCTATCCAGATGGTGCCCACCAGCAGCACCAAGTGGTTGCCCATAAGGCACACACCCATCAGCAGCCCGTGTTGCCGATGCAGCTACCGACGCCTGGGGTGGTTGTGGTGCACCGCCTGCTGCCCACACCGCCCACCCACAGCGGAATGGGGGCGTACCACACGCGTGAGACAGCATTGCACAGGGTGCAACAGCAGAGCGGCTTCTACAACCAGGGGCCCAGCACCTCGGCAGCTGCCTACGGCTATAACCAGACCATGGAGCATCAGCAGATGCAACAGCAGCTGCACTACGATCCGCACCAGGAGCTGCAGTTCGAGCAGCATCAGCCGCACCAGTCGCATCAGCAGCAGCAGCAGCTGCTTCAGCAGCAGCAGCCGCACCAGTCGCATCAGCAGCAGCAGCCGCACCAGTCGCATCAGCAGCAGCAGCCGCACCAGTCGCATCAGCAGCAGCAGCAGCTGCTTCAGCAGCAGCAACTTCAGCAGCAGCAGCAGCAACTTCAGCAGCAGCATCAGCAGCAGCTGCAGCATCAACAGCAGCTGCAACATCAACAGCAGCTGCAGCATCAACAGCAGCTGCAGCATCAACACCAACTGCAGCAGCAGCAGCATCAGCAGCAGCTGCAGCATCAGCATCACCAACAGCAGCAGTACGCAGACGATACCGAGTTCGATTACGATACGGAGTGGGAGTTAGATGAGGAACCTGCTCCTCAGACTGTCCCGCCACTCACCACCTTCAACGACTTCGTTAATGCGGCCCAGAATCCAACTGGCAGTCGAGTAAGTATCTTCTAAATATAATTATATTTTTTGTTGTTTAATATTTTATTATTATTTATTGCCACAAAGTTTATTTGCGTGAATGTTCCATTGTCATATCAATCGCTATTTGATTGCGGTCTCATATTCACGCTTGATGCCAAACAGACACAATTAACAACCAATTAGTTAATTAATTAAATGTGTGTGCTGCAATAAATATTTACATCCCTATAACACAAAGTTATCTTTCAGCGTCACCTCTAACCCCTTTCAACTTGTCTCTATTTATTTATGACCATAACACCATTCATAGCAGAGTCTGCGGGCCCAGAAATCGCCGATTTTGAATAGACGTCGCGCATCATCGATAGCTGGAAATCTTTTGCACTCCGATTATACGTACACAAGGAATAGTATCGGTGGAGCTCCGATCGACTCCACCGACTTTCAGCGCATTTCGCACAGCAGCAGTGCCAGGTAGGGATTGTACACGCATACGTGTATTATCCTAATTAATCTTAACTATGCTTAGGATCGAAGTGCGTTATTTTAATTAAGAAATTGCGGCAAATCAGTATCCGCATAACGTTGTTAAAAGCGCAATTTGTGATGACTTCCGCGAACTTTTTCTTCATCCAATATACGTGTATACGTGTATACGTGTATACGTGTGTATAGTCAACATTTTGCCTCAGCTCCGCAAGAGATTAAGCTGATGATTAAATAGCAGCAGCTGGGGGCAGAAGTCCTCTTGGAAGGCGTCCAGTCATAAACAAGTAAAAATGATAATTAAAAAGTTTGCAACAATGCCGGCGGCAGGTGGGCAGAGCAGTAGGGCCACCCTAATTAGGTGACCCCGACCGCCGAGAGCCCTCGACTGTGATCTCTCGTCGCCACCTTGTGGGTCGTCGCCACCAACAACTCGCCATTGTCTTTGGCTCCCCACCGCGACCTTGGCCCAATGGGTTTTTCATTTTTTTAAATGCTAGCACTGCAGGCTTAATGCCAAATGGCCTTTCAAATGCTTCACGCTTTAACCCACTCACAATTCACTAGCAAATGGCTTGTGAGAGCTTCAGACACAATTGCATTTGGCTTAAAAAAGGGAAAATAATAAAAACAAGTGCACTTTCGCAACATTCCATTTTCCGGTAAGGAGTCATTTTTTAATGAGTTCTCAGTTTGCCACATCTATTGCTTCCCGCCTGGGAAGCCAGAAGTTTCAAAGAACATCTTAAAGCAAGTCCTCACTCCCTTTTGTCTGGCAATTTAAGAGGTATTTGCAGTCGCCGAATGAAACATCAGCCTGATCCAAGTGCCAGCCTGAATATCCTTTCGAATTTAATAAGAGTTTAATTTATCTTGCTGAATACTCGCTGTCCGCCTTAATTGGACTAATTACACTAAAAGCTAGCGGGTCTGGCACAATTTAAGTATCAGTTTCTTCAAGCTAGCTGAGTAGCCAAATTACAAGCTGAAACGCAGTTAACTTTAAGCCAAGCCATGACTATTGACGTGGCTATGACACCCAGTGGGTGTGCAGATACCACTGCGAACTGCACTGGTCATTTTGGTCAAAGTTCGCCAGTAACCCTCAATAGAATAAGGCTATGTATTGCAGTTAACCATATTTTCTAAATTTCTCGCGGCTTTCAGGGATCGCATGTCTCTGGCCGGAGTTCTGACCTTTCAGCAGGCCATGTCCGGAGCAGTGTCGCCACAATATGGCACAGTGGGTTCCCTGAATCCCCAGGCAAGCGGTGCCGGTGAAAATAATCCCGGAATGTTGGGATCCGATGCCATTGGTGGCGGTCTACCTGGTGGATCTTCACAAAACCTAAATTTGACGGTGGGATTGGGGTTTCTCGGTGGTTCCAGCAGCACTTTGGCTGCTGTCGCCGAGGTGACTAGTGGACCGGATGGCACTGGCGATTCCACCGACTCCCCGTCCCCGGACTCCATGATTCCCAGCCAGCAGCGCAAGCAGCAGCAGCTGCTGCAGTTGCAGCTGCAGCTGCAGCAGGAGCAACAACATCTGCCCACCCATTTGCCAATGAAGCGGGAACGTGGCGTCGGCGAATCCTCCGCAGCCAGCACAGCCGGCACCGCCATCGCCGAGCTGGCCTCCTGCGTGGTCCTGGCCGCCCAGTCCGGAAAACCCATGACGGAGCGGCAGCGCTTAAGGACATCCAGCATGCCGGCGGAAAGTAGAAGGGTGAGTAATACAATTGTTTCGTTGGCGCTACAACACTTTGCTGCCAATATAATTATATTTCTGACAAATAACTTATACTTATACACAAGTAGTATTTAAACTCAATCGAAGATATTCGAGTCACGGCTTGGCTATTCCAAGCTTGCACAAAACTGTGCTGTCATGGAAACTATTTATTTTTTCCCCCTTCAAGTTCGGCAACTGCATAGTCATACGACACGGGAATTAAGTCCAATCCAGTCAGTTTAGTCAGTTTGGGCAGCAGGCTCGTGGGGATTAGCGCACCGACATGGGAGGACAAGTAATTGAAACTCGGACCGGGGAACAAAAGTCGTTTAAGGACAGCCATTAGCACTCCACTCAACGCTGAAATATGCCTAATACTTGCCGAATGAAAAGCTTGATGTGTGCTCCAGACGAAGGAGCCGAAGATTACACATGTCTCTGGGTAGCCAACTTCTGTGGGTGTGTGACTCGGCCAAGTTTGCAGCATTCGGCATGAGTAAGCATTTGATACATGGCTCTACTTTTGGCCCTTCGCTCCCGGGTCATTGGCTGCCTGAGTCGTTTCGTTTTCGGGAGCAGAGGGAGTGGGCCTGGCTGCCAAGCTTATCTGGGCTCCCACTCCCAGTGGCCAGATCCACACCCACTTGCGCCTTGTCTGTGCCTTCCTGTATCGTTTTTGGCACACTTGAAAAATCGCCACAATCAGCTGTCAAGTTGAGTGCACTCCCACCATATACGTGTATACTTGTACTATATATACTTCTTGTTTATCAAGGCGTTCCTAGAGGCTGAAGATATTTTCATTGCACGAAAAACGTATCAAATGTTTGTTTTAAATACATTTCTGAATTTTCTTTAAGCTGGTATATTCAATGTTTGCGTTTGAGGCTTCGTAGGACTTTTTTTTTGCCAATTCTCAGTTCTATAAATATTAAATGGGTGCATAAAGGTCGACCCATGGGCTGTGTCTCATCATCGTGGATTTATGGCTGCGGTGGCGGACGTGGGTTTCATAATCCCCACGCTTCTTCGGCCGACTTGCAGTTGTCTAGTCGGTGCAGCTAATGTAATTAGTTTGTGAAATTACTCGAGTGCAAATTGTGCAACGCGTGCTGCGCAAACTACGTGCCACCTGGAATGCCTGCACCTGCCTCAGTCGCAAGGGACTCAAAACGGCAAGAAAGTGGGCCAGTCGGGGGCATTGACCCAAAGTTTCTGCTTATCCGGCACAGAACTTTCAACAGAGATGCGCCGTCTCGGAAATGATTTTGGTGCAATTAAAGTGAGCAAGGAAACCTTCAAAAGGTATCAATGATGGCTGGCGCCGCGGAAAGGCTTCGAATCTCCAGCTGGCCGGGGCTCACCATTAAATGGCTAATAGTGTCAAGTGTGCGCCGCACTCGACACCGTAAAAGAGCAAACTTGTCGACTGCAGTCCCACATCCGTTCACACTTCAGCGCCACTTGCGTTGCCTGCAAGCAAACAAAAAGAAATGAAACCAGCGGGGCTGCAGCCCCCAAGGGAGCCGAAAAAGTGCAGAAACTTTTGTGCCATCATTGCCCAAAAGGCCAACCGCAAATATGTGTGGGCTGTAAGCGCCCGATGGGCTTACAGCCCTGCAATTGGCAGGAACAGGAACAGGAGCCGGTGCTTTGTGCCCGGTGCTCGCTGCTCGGTGCTCGGTGCTCGGTACTGCTGGAGGTGTCTTAAGTTCGACGTATGTTTTCCATTTGTAAAGGCTGCATGCACACCTTATTGGGCAGCTTAGATGATACCAAACAGCTGTGTGGGGCCTTTTCAAGTACAGTTGGCAAATGCATTTATTGTGTACGTTTTGAGCAAACTGTCAATGGTGCGTATGCGCTATTTTTAAGCGTGCAGCTCACATGGCGTATGCGTTATTTCGAAAATGCTATCATTCCCTTTCAATTTCTCCGTTTTATTTGTACCTTGCAGCCTCGTCTGGCCGAGATGCGTCGCTCCGCCATCCATACCGGTGATCCGGACATGACCTACTATCGTCTGCGGAGCTTCAGCATCACTTCCCATGGCATTTGCAACTTGGGCGATTCCCTGAGGCAAGTTCTTAAAGCCCTGATAATTTCGCAGGCTCAGCCACTTAAATTCCCTTTTTTCTTTTTTTTCTGCATTTTCCTGGAACAGAAGCCGCAGGTCACGTTCGATCAACTCCGTGACTTCCAACGGCACCTCGAACAGCGGCGTGGATCGACACAATAGGTGAGTTCAGTGGGTTCAATGGTTCAACGCTCGACGTTCCATGCTCAGTGTTCGATGTTCAATGTTCGGCGAACAAAAGTGGCTGGCTGGCAATAAATTGTTTATGAAATGACAGTTCACATGGCGACAACAATGCGAAACGTGCGGCATTTTCGCATCTATACAGATTGACTAATTTCATACAATTTCCACACCAAACACTTTTCGCTGCCATTAACAACGGAATCTTGAGATCTAGAGTGTGGAGTATGGAGTGTGGAGTGTGGGGGCCCAAGATGAGGATGAATCGTAACAATGCCAAGGCGTTTTCCATCGCCTTTCCCGAACAGTGCCACAAATTGCTTGAGTTTGTCTTTCTTTCCATCTTTTTTTTTTCACTTCTTTATTTGGTATGGGTTTGTTTGGTGGCAGTCCGTGGTCCTAGATTTTTGATGCCACAAAAGTAGCGTAGTTCATTTCGTTTTGAGCGCATTTGTATTAGCTTGCCCCACTGTGCCGCGCCGATTCGCTTATTACTGTTATTGCTTGTCTCTTCGTAGCAACGCATCGGGGGCATCGGGCGAAGTCATCGACGGGGATCCCAATGTTCCGGCCTTCAAAATTGCCATGCTCGGCGCCTCCGGAGTGGGCAAAACCACCCTGACTTACCAGTTCACCACTTCCGATTACATATGCGCCTACGACCTGAGTCTCGGTAAGTCAGTATGCGAAATTCATTATTTACCACGCTCTTTCCAATTCTCACTTTTTTAATCTGGCAAATGTGTGACTATATTTATATAACTAAATATCATATGTGTGCTTACTTCTTGTGATTCGATTTATAGCAACGCTGGGGCGCTGCGCTAAAACTACGCATTTGAATAGCGCAAATTGTATAGAACTCTAAGTGAATTTTGTGCTAAATGGCTTGCTAAGTTTGGGCGAATTTCGGAATTTTGTTTTTTGTCTAGGTACACGTTGGGCAAAGTAATTGAATATGAAGTCGCCCTTGCAGAATCCTCCCGTGACGCTCCACTACACGGCTTTTAATCAAACACATTTGCATTTTAATTATGTCACAAAGTCATAAAATATGAAAGCCGCCAGCGCTAATTTCATTAACTTTCGCGACCATATCACCGGATCGCGAAGTGTGGAAACGCCAGAGAATATGGCCAAGTTGGCTGCCAACCACTTTAATAGCGGATTGGAGCTTTTAAGTGGATTTTCACAGTGAAGTGGCGAGGGATTTCCACTGCCATCGGCTTAGTGTCCCGCTTCTCGTCCAGAAAATCGCATTAGTCGCAAATAGACTGGGATGCAGTGTTTCCCAGTCTATCCAATCTCGGAGTCAGCATTTGACAAGGCCTGTTATTGTTTTTTCCACGAAGGACCTGGCTATGCCTATTAGAGGTATTCAGCAAGTGCAGTGATTTACAGTATCTATTCCTCTGGTGGAACCCTAATTCTATATTGATGTGCCATAGATGGGCATGAAGCTCTGCCCAAATCGAGCCTGGGTGAGGCAACAATTGGCGTAACTAGTCGGGCCAAAAAGGAGCTAGTGCATCTTGTTGCACCTTCCAAGAATGTCTTCATTCGCAGCCCGTTCCGAAGTTATATTAATTGAATTGCGCACCTATCGAATTACCTTTAGGGCAGCGGACTTTATGGACCTCACTTGTGTCCTGGCACTGAGTTAATTACGTTGAGCTTCAGCTCAACGGCATGAGTTTTGGCTCGGGTAATCCGATCATTGTGAAAGTTTCCGAAGCCCAATATTTCATTAGCAGCGGATAAATGCTGATGCAAGTGGCGCAACACGTGTGCCGTCGTGTTGCAGATGGCCTTGATGTCTGAATTTTGATTTGTGCACAGAATTTCAACTGAACTTTGCCTTCCGATTCTCTGTCTCTGTTCGTCCCTCTGACAAGGCCAAAGGGCGAAAAGTGACCTTGCCATCGACGTCCTGTGTGGTGGAGATAATAAAAGGCGGAGCTTTGATTGGTCCGCAAGGAGGGGCGATCTTTATGACAATTGTGGGTGCCAGTGTTTTTGTGTGTGTATTTTGTGGGGGTCTTTGCCCTTTTGTTTGCTAAGTATTGTGGCAATTACCATAGATGAGTTGTCCTGCAGCTAGTTCCTGGCCCCCCAGCTGCAGGATGTACACTGCTTTCACTGCTTGCACTGCTTGAGGGCTGCGTGTGTGGTTTCGTTACTCGAATGCTTTCCTGCAGGACACGCAAATTGCTGTGTGCTTTTGCGTGTGGGCGTCATCTTAGCCATATTTCGCTAATGGCAGCCAGGATTGCATGACCACAAAAATTTTGTGGGCGGCGGAACTGCTTTGGCCACGCCCTCGCAAGCAGATGGTAAATTTATTACATGCCATCTCCGTTTGGAGTAAATCTAAGTGGCCCTAATTTTGGAAAGTAGCCCTGATTTCACTTAAATGTACGCCAAACGTTGCAGGGCAGCACTAAAACACTTCTTGTACACAACTGTACCCCACAGAGCCATACAGCAGGTACAACAAAAATAGACTACAGTTTATATTTGACTTGATTGAACAGAAAAGCCCTAATAATCCTCAGCCATTTCAGACACAACATTTATTTTAGCCATCAGGGGCTAATAATACACGCCCGGAAAATGTTTTGCTTCTAGGCACGACCACCGTGTGTAATGCCATTAAAATGGCAAGGGGCTTTCCCTGCTTTTCCGCTTTCCTTTGGCTTGTTTGCACAGGCGTTTTGATAATTGCATAGCAATGACTCCGCGCTTGAAGTTTGCCGCTGGCCAATTGCATGACTAATCGGCTAAGCCGTCGTAGGACCTGGGTTCGCATTGGATCTTTCCAAGAAGCAGCCTTCGAATATGGCAATACAGCACGTTTCCTTTTTTTAATTTTCTATTTTCTATTTTTCAATTTGTGCAGCACCGCCCACGTTTGGCAAATTACATGCAACATGCAAATTAAGCGCCGGATTGTGTGTGCGGGCTTTTTGTTTCTTGTCATTTAACTATTTCACCCTACCACCATTGGGATGCAAGCGGGGCCAGGAGATGCGGGTCGACTAGTGTCCAAATATTTGCCAGAGCTGAATGCAAACAGAGTCGGACGCAAACTGCAGGCATTGTCTGCTTCAGCGACTCCTTTTCCAGCTCCTTTGTCCTTTTTTCTGCTACTCCAGCCAACAAAGCTGCCCCTTCTTTGCTTGCTTCGTTTGAAACTGCTGACACTGCTTGCATTGGGCGGTGCTCGTGCACTGGCAAAAATCGTGCTTAGTTGGATTTGGAAAAAAATTTAATATAAATTTAAAATGATATAACGCTAAGGCATTTAAATTTCTGATCGATTGGTACTCAAACCTGAGCTCTAAGTTTTTGACATTTTTGGGGCAAAAAGTGCGTTTTTTATCTACAACATCAAATATAATAGTCCAAACGTAGATTGTCATATCTCGCTGGACTCGTAATAAAATTTGCAATCGATGTGCATTCAAACCTGCAAACTTTCAAATTTTGTAATTTTTTCAAAAAATCTTGACGAAAATCATGACTTCAAAAGTTGAATAAATTTAAATTTTTTAAATGCAGCCAAAAAGTGATGTGGATCGTTTTCTGATGGGATTAGCCGTGCGAATCCGTCTAGCTACGTGGCACTTTTTAGACAAATTATAGCGAAAAAATTTTGTAGCAGTGTTGCAGTGACGTAGCACTTTCCGTGCGCACCAAGGGACAAAAAGGCTTTACGATTCCGGAGTGCCGAGGGGTGGGAACCAGTTGGCAACACTCTGTGTCCTCCACTCCAAGTTCACTGTCTGCGTCCTTTTCCACGTTTCATGGCTGGGCTAAAAAAACCAAGTCAAAGTAGATAGAGGAAGGGGAGCGTCAATTGCGACATTAACTTGCTGGGCAAATAAAATCACTTTGATTACGGTCTTATGGGCGGAACGCCCTCAAACGCCCACGAAAGTTGCTGCCACCCCTGGTGCAATTTGATCGATTTAAGTCCCTATAACTGCATTTGAGTACTTGTTATTTTGATTTCCGAGAATGTTTTTCAGAGCTCAGGGCTCAGGGCTCAGGGCTTCCTTCCATTTTTTGTTGTGCTAAATGCACTCCCACAAATGCCAGCTTAAACAATGAACTCCACGTTGGTTGGCTTCTTACATAATGGAATATAATTTCCATTAGTTTTTTGTAGCATAAGCCATAAGCATAACGATGGAATGAGTTTACGAAGGCTAACCATTTTTTATATGTACATATTTTCTTTTCAGATGATGATTACGGACAGAAGACTGTGTCGGTGCTGGTCGATAACATTGAAACGGATTTGGAAATAATTGATCATCCTGCATGCGAGATGTCGGTGAGTGGCCAAACGAGTGGTGGTGATGCAATGTGCCCCCTGCTCTGCTGGCTGGAGCATTTTTTCCGGCTTTTCCGATTTTCACAGTCTGGTTAAGTGGATCAAGCTGTGGGCGAACACCCACTTGTCACTGACACATTTGCCAAATGTCATTTACACTCTGTCGACCGTCACTTTAAAGGAGAAACAATGTGATGGAACAGAAATAAGCAGATTAAAAGCAGAGTAGTAAGCAGAGTTCACCTTTCATTAAATCAAACCCTTTTCAATGTGGCTTACTTAGGAGAGATATTTGCAGAAAAGCATAACCATTGATACTATCGGTTACACATATGCGATTGCTTAAGCCTTGCTTTCACACGAGCTTTAGGTCTTTAATCTGGACAAGGTCAGCTGTCTCAGCTGGAACTTGAACTTTTCCACCCCTTTTAACCACCCACCCAGCCGTCAGCCAGCATGAAATTTCATTAGAACGATTTGTGTAGCCTACTTTTCTGCGCCATATGGTTCATCTCAATCTTGGTTTCTATTTCTTGCACCACAAAATTGGGTTTCGCCTGCAGACGGAGGCCTTCTGCGCCACCTACAACATCGACCTCTTCGTCGTGGTCTACTCTGTGATAGATCGAAACACTTTCGCAGCAGCCGAGCGTGTCCTGCAGTATCTCAAGGAGAACGAGATGCTCTTGTCCCGCGGAGCCATCCTGGTGGCCAACAAAACGGATCTGCAGCGACACCGAGTGGTCACACGTCAGAGTAAGCATTCTCTTCATCATTTGTGTGTTGATTGGCCGTTTTTTTATTTGTAAAGCGATTTTGCAATAACATTTTCGTTCCTAATGAGGGCCAAGAACTAATCCAGTTGGTCCAACCCCGATTCTTACATTTCCAGTGGGTCGCAAGGTGGCCAAGGAAATAGCGTGCAAATTTATCGAGACATCCTCTGGACTGGATCACAATGTGGACGAGCTGCTGGTCGGCATTGTGGCCCAGGTGAAACTGAATCCGCAGCGTTTGCGACTGCTCACGGAATTAGAGCTGCAGCGCCTGAATCTGCAGAGTACCATCCAGAAACATCGTGGAATGCACCTGCAGACGCGCCGGATGGTCCGCCAAATGAGCGTTTGCCAGGGCGACGAGGAGATCTTCGATGGTGGATTGCCGGAGAGGCTGCAGAACGGCGGGGCCGACAATGATCCGGACGGAGTGCCTAGCACTTCGAAGGCCGGCCGTTCGCGGATTGAGAATCCCAACCGCAAGCCCTTGAACCTGGAAAGCATATTGAAGATGGGCGAAAGCGAGGTGGACGAGGACGAAGATGTGGTCAAGTTGTCGCGGCTGAGCAAGTTCAATATGCTGGCGGCCAGCATAGGTCATCGTCGTCCATTCCGCAAGCGTCGCTCGTTCGACGGCGGCGTTACCACATCTGCAGCTGCGGAAGCAGCCGCCGAGCTGCAGCGGCGCTATCAACTCCGGGCCATGGATGATCTGCAGCTGGAGGGACGAATGGGCGGAATGATGGAGGAGCGGTTTGGGGAGAGAAGTGGACTGGCCGATAGCGATGACGAGGAGGATGGCGAGGGTGGAGTGGACGGTGTACACCGGAATGCCTGCAACCGCAAGGTGGTGAAGAAACTGACCGCCCGCACCAAGGTATTCATCTCGTCGGTGCTGCGCTTCAAGAAGTCCATCAGCCTGAAGCGGCGCAACTCCTCCAGCTGCAGCGATCTCTTCGTGATCTAAGCGGTTGGCAGCGGGCGGCATAGGAAGTAGGAAGCATAGACTGAATGTATATAAACGGAGTATATAAGGAGGCGAAGTTGGAGCATCGAAGTGGAAACGAAAGTGGAACCGGAACAATACAGACCAGGAGATCCTGACCAGCAGACCCAGAACGTAGGCACAACGAAACCGCAGCGCAAACCGAGGTGGAGTCGAACACGGATGTGCAGGAGTGCAAGGACATCATCTTGTGAGGAAGTTTCCAGTTGCATATTACACAAAAAAAAAATACAGGGACATTTTCCATTTTATTGGCCAACGGTTGCAGCATTGACCTATACATTTGCACTTTTAAATGGCAACTGCAAATCGTCTGGCGAAGGCAAGAAATTTGAAATTCTGGGCCAAAAAAATTTCTAGAAATTTACAATCACTTGAAATGGCATTTAAAAGTGTGGTCTGGTCCGTGCCCGTGCGACTTGCGGACTGAAAATATATTGTAGACTACCTTTGGAAACATCTGTAAGTGATATTAAGCATCTAGAAATTTTTTGACAGGCAAATGCATAAAAAACAAAAGATACACCCATTTATCCCTGAACCCGACCGGTAGGTGGCGCTGCAAATGCGGACAATAATTTTCCTATCAAAAATATTGATCAGCAAATTTTACAAAACCGAAAAAAAGGGCTAAGCACGTTTTGTGCAAAAGTAAATCAAGTCCTATCCGCTTAAAAAAAATTTTAAATGCAGCTCAAATGAAAATACAAACAAACAAACTTTTTGATGGCACATACTCGAAGGAACAGGAAAACCGCAAATATGCAAGAGATACACTCTATTTTGTTATGTCGTTTTTGTGGTTCCTTGTAATGATTAATCGCGTGGTTTCTGTCGAGTTTCAAGCTAAAACAGAATTGGCTTAATAACCTAACGCATATATGAACTTAAAGTGGTGTCAAAGACGTTGAGTAATGGTGCAATTATGAAAACGTTTTTTTTTTTTTGTAGCCAATAAACATGACATACATGTGTAGAAGGAAATTCTGGCAAACAACCTGAAGACAAAAAGAGCAGTAGGAAATAGTCCAAACACTTTTGCAATCTTAACATCCTTCTTTGTAGTGGCACGCATAATAATGGAATTCAATTTCATAATGCCAATGGTCCAGCTTAATTGCTCAACTACTAACAACTACTTTGAACATTATTGAATACATTGAAATACCTTATTTTACAATTACCCTCCTTTGTGATTTTGAGATCTTATGAGTCTTATAGTAGCTTCTCACCAAACCTTCCACCAACAATGTAGGTATTAATATACTTTTCCTATATTTTCCAATACAATAAAGCAATGTGAAAGCTTTTTGTAAGATGTGCACCTTTGGAGCTGCTGCTCGTTTGGCTTTTGCTGAACTATACGTATATATTGAAACATACAACAAATAATTGTCTGGCGCCGCGTTTTTGAGATAAAAACAATTTTTTGCGCGTCTTTGATCAAGAATAAGCAACTAAGTATTTTACAGTTCTAAATGTCGTGTGGTAAGAATACCGAAAATACACTGAAACCACCAGCACCACATAAATTACATAGTATACTCGTATATTATAACAGATACCATCTGAACGAGAATAAAATGTTCTCTACAAAAAGTTTTAGCAAGTGGCGCCCCATCAGGGACTCGCACAATTTGCCAGCGTACCGCGTACATTACACACAGAATATTCAATATTAATAGCTTATGAATGCTACCAAGCGACCGCATACGCGAAATCAGAGGAAAAGAGCAACTATTAATGTGAAATCTGCCATGACGTCGTTGGAGGAGACAAAGTAAATCCAATACCCTCTAAGTTTTCCCGATTGCTTTTGTAATTTCGTCGGTCGTTGGAACTCGAGGCACTCAGGCAAAAACCATAATGAGCTTACCCAAAGCCTGTAGTAATTTTGTCTGGAAATGGAACAGCACGAAAAAATGGATACAAATGTTGGGCTTAGCGGCTGCTATCGCCAACTAGAAAAAAAACTAAAGGAATATCGACCAAGCGACGGGATTTCCACTATTTTTTGTATAAGTTGTTTTTGCATTTTTAAGTGCATCTTTTAAACGGCTATGTGTACTATTTCATTACATTTCAGTTCTCTATTACTTTTTTGTTTTTGTCTAGATGGTTTTGACAGCTGGTTAAATTATTTATTTGCCCTCCTATTTTTGTTGGTACCCACTTCCAACTGACGTTGTAATACAAGTTGTAATGGCAAAGTTTTCGGTAGGGAAGGCGGTCTTAAAAGCCAAATTCAAAAGAAAAGAAAACAAAGAATAAGTCATACATTCCACCATTACATTTTTGGGCTGTCCGCATAAGCGGCAGCAGCAACAAATACCTAAGGTACACAAAGTCATGAACAAGAAAACTTAAACAAATTGAAAAGAAAAAAAAAATGAAAAAAAAAAAAAACACACTCAGCTCAGCCACACAAACTCCCCCTGCTCACTCTTCAGCCAAACAATTGAAAAATGTGAAAAATGTGAAAAATGCAGGCAAGGAATGGAGAATTGTAATGCTCAATACGAGGAGACATTGGATTTATTCGGAAAAATGAGAAGGCGACCTATGTGCCATCTATCTAAGTACTTGGCCAGACTTGATCGGAGCTTCCAGTTTCCAGTAAACGGAAGCGCTAGCAATGAGCTAAAAATACAAAATACAGTGAACGGAACAACGAATCGTGAATGACCTAAGTTGGATTTTAAGTGCAAGCGAAGCGAAAGCGTATGACACCACATCACATATCCAAGTCCGTTTCGTCATGTTTCATCTGACATGTAGCTTACTGAACCTCTTTCGACCATAACTCTAACCAAATGACTGTGCTGAACTCAGCTGAAAGTCCAGTGGCCAAGAGGCTTAAGGAATATATTTAACTGGATGAGATTTAATGGGGCATCGACATCGATTATCGAGCGCCAACGGAAACTGGACATAAGCTGGGTCAAGGGAAGGATCCCAAGGACCTGGGGACACTCTAACGTACGGTATCACTTCGGACTTCACCCACTACCTACTACTTCAAAATCGAGACTGATTTTACTGCTCCCATAATAGCACACAAACAAAGTATACAAACAAAGTATACATACAAAGTGAACATCCCAAATCGGAAGAATATCATAACCTGACAACCTGAACTTCAACTTTCCTAACCTACTTCGCATACACTATCAACACGATCATTTAAGATTACATTTACAAGTTATAGAACCTATCGGTTGGATAAGGTCAAATATATACAAAACTACTTGAATACGAATATATATCTTATATAATTATATACCCCCTTATATATATACATACATGTATACAAAATATATACCATGACATATTTACACACAAGTTTTACTCCGTGCCATTTGAGTGCGATAAGTTAAGTTAAACCAAACTTTATACGAATTTCGGACAAGTTCAGCGGCATTTTTATGGGAATCCATTTGACTAATGGTAACTTGTTCTTAGATATCATTTGAGTGTGATACGCGAACGGAGGTTTAGTTATAGAAAGCCAACTGGGGCTCCCTACACTCTTGTCATTTATGTTGTGCCTATCCCTCTTTCACTCCGTTCGAATCAAATCAAAATTGAAATTCCCATACAGTCTCCTTTTTTTGTTCTTACGAAATTCTTTACAAATCAAAAGACGCTGTAGTTCTTTTAATTATACACGAATATACACTATGAAAACATGAAATTTGTTGATGTGCGTTAAACATTTATGATATGTGTGTGTTTGCAAAAAGCTCTATTTGTAATTGGAATCCATATATACAGAACGAAAATTTGCTCCTTCCCAGTCTTAATTCCGAATGATTTTAAAGTTTCCAAGCAAAGCAATTGGTTAAGATGAGCAAAGGCAAAAACGGTTCCACGTGGGAATATGTTGAGTACCACTATTTAGTACGTATGCGTAAGCATTTGTATTTCTTATTTTTTTCGTGAAACCTACATTCAATCAAATTGAATGGTCACTTTTAACCATAAATAAATATTTTACTCTATGTGTAATTAATTACAGCTTACAGTTCTGCATTAAACGCCAGTCTTTCAATGGGGGAAAGTGGGGGAAAGGGAGTTGGGAAATGGCCATTAAGGCCAAAGGGATTACGAAGTCGATCCGCACTCATCACGCACCCGGGCACATAACTGCAACGCATAGTTTCCAATTAAAAGTTACTCCATCCCGGAATTTGAGAAATGGTCCAGCACTTAATCAACGCAGCACCACGACCTCCAAAAAAAGCTGTTTTCTGCGGCTTAGTCGGGATTCCCGAGCTGGAAGTTATGGCAAGGACCAAGGGCGAAGGTGGGTCCACACAAATGACTAATCAAAAAGCCAGCGATGCCGAGATCCCGGAAAGAGTAGGGGAATAAAAACTTGGATAATGGCTGGCTGGAACATTAATTATGCTGCTTCGATGGTGGCCATCATTTATATGCTTAAACTTATATAGGAAACGGAACTAAAAACTCCGTAGTCATCCCAGATCCAGGCAAAAAGGACTACATTTCTATGCAATCAAGTCCCATATATAAGTTACAAGAAACAACTACGTTTGGTGATTTAAAAATATGAGAAGGCAGCTGTCCGTTCCAATTATTGTGCCTTTTATCTGTTGTCTAACTTTTGTCCCATTTGTTCTCCGGAGTTGTGTGAGTTTAATGTGAAGCCCCATGCCATACGCATAATTCGCATTTTAAATCACAAATGGAACTCCTGCGACTTGTGGCGAACTTAGGTTCTGGCCAGGAGCAGCTTCTATTGTACTTCTTGTCAACTCCTGTTGGCCTGCGGCTAATTCCCAGTGCAGCTGGAATTTCGATGCAAATTAATTCTGAACAAAGTGGTGGGCTTTGAACGGAAAGGTGCCATAGGAGCGAAAGCAGCAGAGCCTGCAAGCCTCAATAAAATCAGAAATGTTGGCCGCAAAAGCGCGATAAAGGCCAACATTCCGATTTAGATGTAAATTAAGTCCAGGAAGGTAGTGGGGGCATTTCGCAGAAAACAAAACAAATCTACCAGCTTTCTGTTGGATAGTACGTTTTCATTTTTATTCGTTATAAATTTAAAATAAATTATCGGATCGAATAAATAGGTGAAATAAATATGTGAAATTTCGGGGGCCCTTAAGCGCTATGAGCTACGAACTATGAACTAAATTTGTTTCGACCAGCTGCGGCGGTACAAGGTATTTACACTGTTGCCCAGCATGTTGGCAAATTCGCGCTGGCCGCTCAGTTGAAAAAATCCAGGATGCCGTTGAGGAGTTCGTAGGCGAATCCTGTCTCATCCGTCGCCTCCGCGGCGGCCTTCTTCTTCTTGTTCTTTTTCGCCTTCTTGGACTTCTTGGACTTGGGCGTGGTGGATTCCTCATCGGCGGCGGCGGCGGCGGCGGCGGTATTGGTTGCCGGGGTCACCGCTGCGGCCACTTCTCCCTCAACCGGTGATGCAGCTGCAGCAGCAGCATCCTCGCCAGCGGCAGGAGTTCCCGTATCATCCTTGCTCTGCACCTGGTCGCCGTTCGTCGTAGTCGAAGTCGCGGTTGCGGTCGCAGGCGCCTGGCCATCGACGATCACATTCTCGCGGGTTTGGTCGGCAGCCGCAGCCGCAGCTGCTGGCTTCTTAGCCGGCTTCTCGTCCTCGTCATCATCGAGCTCGTCCAGAAGTCCGGCCAAACTGAAGCCGCCGTAGTCAGCATCCTCGGGCGCCTCGGCCTCGTCATCATCAGCATAGTCCTCGGTGTCATCGTCGTCATCGGTATCCGCATCCGTATCGTTGTCGCTGTCATAGTCGTCCTCCTCGTCCTCATCATCATCGCCACCAGCTGTTAAAAAAAGAAATCAAAAGAGCAGATACTTTAGAATGGGCTCGAGGAGTCAGTCCAAACAGGCGGATACGCAATACGAATCCAACCAACATTATGTACACGTATATAAACAGGCTAACTTACCGGCAAATCCGAAGAGGTCATCATCGTCGTCATCATCGTCATCCGAAGTGGGCTTCGCAGGCAACGGCTCCGCCTCGGCCACCCGGACTCCTTCCGGTCCAAACTTGAAGCAGGAGACGCGCAGGGAGGCCTCCACCTCGTCGTCGGCGCGCAGTTCAAAGGCCAGACAGGCCTTGAAGTCCTTGGACTCCTTGGAACGGGACAGACCATAGACCTTGCCGCAGAACTTGGAGTAGCCGCCGGGAAGGCCCACGCAAATGGGGCGGGCCCGCTTGCTGGAGATGCGTCGGGAGGCCAAGGTGATGTCTCCGTACTTGAGGGACACGCTCATCTCGTCGTTGCCTACGTAAGCTATCTTGGCACAGCCCGGTCCGCTTGGCAGCAGTGGCAATCCGAACTTCCGGCAGCAGTCGCAGTGGCTCTCCGAGCACTTGCAGAACTTGCTGATGGGATTCTCCGGCTTGGCGGTGGTTGGTGCAGTGGTGGGCTTGGCCGCCGCCAGAGTGGTGGCCACCGCCGGAGCAGCTGCCTCTGCGACCTCGGGAACGGCGGCGGCTGGGGCGACAGCTTCTGCGGCGGTAGCCACAGCATTCGGGGTCTCCACATCACCGCTGGCTATCTCATTGGCACTCTCGTCAATGGACGCGGCGGGCGTTACGGCACTGGCAACCTCATCCGCCACGTCCTCCACCTTGGGCGGCTCCGATTCCGGCGGCGCCACATTCGGATCGATCTCCTCGGGCGGCAGATCCAACTGCTTGAAGTTCTCCGATATCTTGTCTGTGCGCCGGAACACGGTCTTGGCCTCCAGGTGAAGTATGGAGGCACTGGCCACCAGGAGCAGCATCAGTAGCATGTTCCTCGAGCTGGTCATCTTGTCCTGGGAATCTGCAACGAAAAACGAAAAACGAAAATCGAAGTAAGTACGGTGCCACTAAAGTTTTGTATGTTATATGGGTATAAAAACCTTTGCAACTAACCGACTTATGCACAAGGTTTGGCATTAATTAACGAATTAACTTGCATATGCTATAAATTGAAGTACTTTTGTCGACTTTGTAAGCCGCATTTTAAAGGCAATAAACAAACCACTCGTTGTGAATAAAGTTAGTGAAAAAATGTAGTGAAATAGCGAGCTCCAATGCGAATTGCTTTTTTCTTCTGTGCGTAGGCAGAATCCGATTCCGTATAGGAATCGGAATTCGAAATCGAAATCGGAATTGAAATGGAAATCAAACCAAGAGGTATTCCAAAAGTCAACAGCTCGGAAATCGCTTTCAAGTGGCCAGCGATTAAATTTCACCGCATTCTTCCGCCTCGTTTTTGGCCGCCTCGTATTTTGCAAAAGAAATGAATTTAAATAAATATTGACATAATTTCTTTCACTTCTCTTTTCATCTCAGTTTCGGTTTCCTCTTCTCTCTCTCGCTCCCCCCAGCCAAATGCAAAGTAAACAAATTAACAGCGAAACCCAATGGCGTTGAAAACTAAAAGCCGAATTTAACAACGCATCGCGAAGAGACATAAAACGAGAGTGAAATCCCACCTGCAGACTTATTTAATTGACGAATTGGGTTGGCTCATTAGAATATAGCCCCATATGTATGTATATATGTATGCTCCTATGTACCAATGTGTGCAACGCACTCTGTATCCATCCACTCTGAAATTCATTCATTTCCTAAGAGCCAACAAGTTGCAGCTCGTTGCCAACTCAAACTGGGCTCTTTTCAGTGTTTTTTTGTAAGGTTTTTTTTCCGGGTGGCAGGGGGAGTCACCGATGGCAAAGTGAAATTTCAGCTATTGACTCATTTACCTCAAGTGCTTGAGGGGCAGGGGCAGGGGCAGGGGCAGGCACAGAGGGGGATTTCAGAGCGCCCCAAGATGTCCAAATCAATTAGCGGCTCTTAACTGGAGCTCAACCGCCGGAGAAACCCGAAGGGTTCGGACCGGAGCCAGAACTATTTAACGAAAAATATGCAAAACGTTGCGGTTGGGTGGGGCGAAACCATCGAGATGAAAATATTTAGCTGCCCTAGAAACGAAATCAAATTGTGTATAAAAAAAAAAAAAAAAAAAAAAAAAAAAATGAAAACAGTTTGTTAAAATGAATATTGAATTATAATTTCAATTAAAGCGTCGAGTGTGATGGTGCTTGAAAAAAGCTCGTTTCTTCCATGCTGTTGAACACATACAATTTCTTGGAACAACTGCTTTTTATTGGGTCTATATGGATTTGAACGATTTCGACCAGTATTTTGAGCATTAACCAACTGTGTGGATTATTGTTTTGCTTTCCTATCT